TACCCCGCGACTTCGTCCGCGTGCTATTAGAAAACATACGAACTATATAAATAACAAAAAGCTACGTATCCCGGGAACCGGACATTTCCCGGGAATCCTTATCCCATGTGTACTCCAGACTTTGTTTTATATCTGTGCTAATTTTCAATAAGACATGTTGAACCGTTGCAGAACGATCGAGTAAACATTAAAAAACTAAATTAATTCATTAATTTACATTTTGTTCCCACGGGAACCGTAACTATTCCCGGGACAAAAAGTAGCCTATGTGTTAAACCTGTGGCAAATTTCATGGAGATCCGTTCAGCCGTTTAGGCTACAAACGCTAACAAACATCCATCCATCCATCCATCCATCCATCCATCCATCCATCCATCCATCCATCCATCCATCCATCCATTCATCCATCCATCCATCTAAACTTTCGCATTTATAATATTAGTAAGAAGTAAGATTAGTAAGATACTAGCTGCTCCCGTGCGACAATCCGCATAAAATTATGAAAGTTTTACATGTGTCAAATTATCAATAGCAAATGTCAAAATGACATGACATGATGACAATCCATGGCAATCTTGATTCCTTGATGTTGGCAGCAACATATGGTCTCTTTCCCATATTATGGTTTTTATACAAAATATTTACCCCCTAAGTTTAATGGCTATATATAACCTAAAGCGTGATAAGTGTAGGGCTTTTTATTAAAAAAAAGAAACATTCAAAAATATGTTGTAATTGCTGACATCTTAGGCAACAAAGAGACATCTTAGGCAAAAAACTCTAATGAGGGAAAGAGATCATAAGTTGCTGCCAACATTAAGAAAGAAAGGTTGTCATGGTTTGACATCATGTCATGTCATTTTGACATTTGCTATTGATGTGAACAATAAAACAATTTTTTATAATATCATGCTGATGAAGTCGCATGGGAACAGCTAGTCCAAAATATTTATCCCCTAAGTTTAATGGCGTGAAAATATATAGCCTAAAGCGTGACGTAAGTGTATGGGTTTTTACTAAAAAAAGAATTATTCAAAAACATGCTGTAATTGCTGACAGGCAACAAAGTTTGTGTTTACGCTTTATTATAATAGTATAAATAAATAAAAAAAACTTCTATTTATTGTAGACATATGTGCATGGTGATGCGCGGTGTCCAGAAGATAAACAGCAAGACGGTCACCTCGACCATGCTGGGCGTCTTCAGAGATGACCCCAAGACCAGGGAGGAGTTCCTCAATCTGGTGCACTCCAAATAAAAACGATTTAATTCTCTTATTAAAACTTTCGTGAGATATTATACTATATTATTTATAACACGGGTAAAAACTCACGTGGGAACTTTCGGTGTATTCACCGACTAGTTTCAGACCCGTAGGGGGTCCTTAGAAGTCCTTAGAAGGGGGGGTCGTAGAAGGACCCCCTACGGGTTAGAAACTAGTCTGTGCCTACACCGAAAGTTCCCACCTGAGTTTTAGCCGTGTTACAAATAATATGGTTTAATTCTCTTTTATTTTAGATTTCAAAGAAATGTTATCTAATAAAGATTTTAAACGAGTGAATATTAAAAATTGTTATTTGAATTTCAAGATTATTTATTTTATTTTAATGATTTATTTCATATTTACTATGAATTACAAAAATATAAATTTATATTTTTTTTATATAAGTTTTTTTTGTAACTATTTGAGTTATTGATTTTAGGAATAAAATAAAAAAATATATAACTTAAATATATTATTGTAAACTGAAATATTATGTTTCTTTTGTTATAAAAATCTTCAATAATAACATTTCTTTGATAACATGCTTTGTGTTCAATTTATTGACTACAATAGGATTCTTTTCTCAATTTATTTTGCTATTTGTAAATTATTTTTTCACTATATTTTACAGCGTACAAAATATTTTATTGAAAATATATTTTTGATAAACTTTTATTTCGTTTAGTTGCTTGAATATAAGTAAATTGTATTTTGTTATTTGTAAAAATAACGAAATAAAACAAAATATATATTTTTTTAAATGCGTTCCGTTTCATGTTACAGATTTAAAATTTAATTATTTCTTAATACTTTCGCTATTTTGATATTATTGAGTTGAAATAAGAACAAATGTTAAAATAAATATTAATAATGTTTTCAATAGAATTTTCAAAGGCTATATACAAATCTGCGTTCATTTTTAAAATAGTAATAAAAAACGTTCCTTTACGTTACTAAACTGCCTTTTGTTAGTGTATTTCTTTGTATAATAATAAAAACTTGTACGTTTGATTTAGACAATAATTAGTTTTATTGTGTCGAGAAATCCGATGACGTTTTATTGCCCACGTCATTGTATTTTTCGATTTTGTTGAATTTTTTTTAGTACAAAAATATATTGGATTTGTAAATTGTATTGTTGTAAAAATCTCGAACATTTTATGGCTGATGTTCGACATTTTTGCGATGTTTTTTTTTTTGATAATATTGGTTTGTATTGCCCGGACCAATATTTATGGTTGCCTTATGTGATTATAGGATTTTTTATATGTTTAATATTATACAGATTGTATAATTGAGACATTTTTTTATTTTATAAATAAAGGTTTATATTTTTAAGTTAAGACTGCCTTTTATTTTAATCCGTAACATATTAACAATTTTCTCAATTTTGAGATAAAAAATATTGATTTGAAAATAATATATTTTTTTTATTCTCCAATAAAATAATCTAATGAAAATTAAAGTTTGCATTTATAATGATAATTTTATGTCTTAAAATTCAATTTAATTATATTTAACAACATACCAATAAATATGCATAAAATAAAATAAAAAAAACAGCAACCTTATTTACAATTATTTTTTCTTAAGACAATAAACGAATAATACAAATTAAGTTAAAAAAATATTAGCAATTAGCGTATTTAAAAATATGATTATTTTCTAATTTTCTTACCCAATAGAACCAAACTTCGGTTCATAGTCTCTGAAGTTCCTCATGCATCATACTAAGTAATTCTTTCAAAGTAGGTCCTAAAAATTAACTTGACACTCAGGAACAAATGGATGATTCTATACATTTAAAAATGCATAAATAATAATTTACTCTTCTAACTTATCTAGAATACTATAATAGTCATATCATCTTACTAATATTATAAATGCGAAAGTTTAGATGGATGGATGGATGGATGTTAGTTAGCGATTGTAGCCTAAACGTCTGAACGGATCTCCATGAAATTTGGCACAGGCTTAGAGCATAGTCTGGAAGAACACATAGGCTACTTTTTATCCCGGGAATAGTTACGGTCCCCGTGGGATTCATAAATTTAGTTTTTTAATGTTTACTTGATCATTCTGCAACGGTTCAACATATCTTATTGAAATTTGGCACAGATATAAAACAAAGTCTGGAGTACACATGGGATAAGCTTCATCCCCAAGAAATGTCCGATTCCCGAGGGGTACGTAGCTTTTTGTAATTTATATAGTTCGTATGTTTTCTAATATCACGCGGACGAAGTTACGGGCAACAGCTCGTAACATTATAAATGCGAAAGTTTAGATGGATGGATGTTTGTTAGAGTTTGTAGCCTGGCTGGACAGATTTCTATGAAATTTGGTATAGATGTAGAGGATATTCTGGAATAACACATAGGGAACTTGCTTTTATTTTTTATTAATTCCACGCTTACAGAATCGCGGACGCAAGCTAGTTTGTAATAACAAAAACATTTAGATAGCACAATGACATGAGATACAAAAATGAAACAATGTATAAAAGTCAAATTGCATTTAATTAATTCAAAACACGATCAAGAATCTAATAAATTTAACTAATAAAACCTAACAGAGTAATAAGTTCTTCTCCAAGAGATACATATTTATCAACAACACTACCTAAAAAACCTTTTATTCCATGTATAGATATATCAAGAACGTCAAATTCGTATATCTTTTTATCTTTAGCATAATAATGCATCAAACCTGCTTCCATAGCATACGCACTCGGTTTACCATCAGGTCCGAATTCAATATTATTGAACACCTCAGCTTTACCACTGTCGTTTATCAAATATAATTTATTATCAACCACTATCGGTACATGACCGTCAGAAGTCACTGGTGGCTTCAATAATTGTGCGTTAGATATAAACTCTGGTAATCCATGAATCTTTTTAATACCAACAAAATTGTACACAAACACCTGTTTATCAGAATCAACGTAATAAAGGTTATTATCGTAATCCAATATTATTTGTGCAGCATTCACAATATCGTTGATTTTCTTCTTCTTGTTACCATTTTCACTGACAGTAAATACTTCTTTGTTATCAGTTAATATATAAATCACATCTTTTTCTGATGGTTTAGCGATTCCAATTATACTGTCAGTTATTGAACCGTATTTTTCAATTGATATGCTCTTATCGTTATATTTGTAGATACCATCTTCAGCACCAAAATATGCATCTTTACTGTCGTCAGCCGCAGCAGCGACATCTCTACCATTATCTAAAAGTTTTTTAGCATTTCCATTTTTGAAAACATACAACCCTTTATCTATCCGTTTGCCGGTTGCATCTCTATCTGCTTCGACGAAGAAGAATAGATATCTATTCTCAGCGTTTCGTCCATAATTTAAATGATTCAAAGGTACAGTTATCTTGACAATGTCATATTCTCCAGTATAAACGATGTATTGTTCAGGGTAGACGTCATTTGTTACTAATAATTTGTTTTCTTTTGAAACAGGAACGGCGTTTGCTGCTGCCAATATTAGAGCTAGCGTTCCAAGACGCATTTTCATATCTGTAAAATTAGAATAATATAAGTTACTTTCACCCGCGACTCCGTTTGCGTCGAATTAAAAAAATGAAGTAGCCAGTTTTCATCCACACTCTCTTCTACAATGACTATCGTCGAGATCCGTTCAGCAGTTTAGGCTACAAACTGACAAACATCCATCAAAACTTTCGCATTTAATATTAGTAAGAGTCTGAAGTAAAAGATGGTGGTAGGTTTAAATAATGTAGTTTAAATATGTTCCCTTAGTAAAATATCTTTGCGACATACAGTTTTCCTGTTGAATAAATTTTGTATTACAAAAATTTCAATTTGATAATTTTTAAAATGTATTTCTTAATATAATGTAGCGTCGGTGGCTCAATGGTTTAAGTACTTGACTTGTAATCTACAGGTCTTGGGTTCGAATCCCGCTGTACCAATGTGACGGTGAAGGAAACCATTGTGATGCAACCATATAAGCGAAGAAATTCAAAGATATGTGTGAAGTCAACCAACGCGCAGTGCAGGTTGACTATGGCCTAGTCACCCTTACTTTAGGGTAGGCTCCGAGCCCCTCAGTGGGGATGTATAGTGAGCTGGTGATGATGATTTATTAACAACTAAAACTATCGCACAACTGTGTACGATTCACAGCCAATTCAACTGTTTATCACAACTAAAAGTTGAGTACGTCCATATAAGCTTAAAGGAATCAAAGCGTAAACAGTATGTGATAGTTTGTCAAAGGTGCATTCTAAGTTAATAAGTACAGCAATAAAATTGATACTTACCAAGTCTATTCCTGCTATCAATCAGGCTGTACTATACACAAAACATTTGATTTACTATAGATTTAAAATAACTTATTTGCACTAATTAAAATAAGATGAACAAGAGAATGTCTTACAGTTTACTTGGCACTTAAATACTGCAAGGGTTGTAAGAGAGTTAACAAAAGTGTATAATATAAGTGAAATAATGTCAAGGTCTCAGTTAAGTTAGAGTTAAGTAAACAATGATCCTGGTATTTCCTTTTCTCAGTAATAGTTTATAAACTTAATATATGTTTATAAAATAACTTTAACGTTACATTCCGAACGAATTTGAACAATCCTATTTGAATCCCTCCACCTTTACTTTGGATATAAAATGAAGTAATTTCAAATTATCTCATTGTTTTGTTTCTGAATTAGGTGTTAAGTAGTCCCAAGTTTTTCTTATATTTAACATAAAGTAGATTTGCAAAGTAATTAATATAAAAATAAATGTACTGTTACAAATAATAACTTATGTTTTATTAACCAATCAGTAATTCAATTCGATTAGGAGAATAAGGTTTTATTACCCTCATATTTATAAAGTTCCGTAAAACTTCGGACTCTTCGTGAAGAAGCTACGAGCATTTACATTAATAATTTTAGAATGGTAAGCAACATATTACAAATGATTTTTTTATGTAATTTATCTGCTAACATCTATGCTAAGACGCACTCATTTGACTAAACTATCGCACAACTGTTTAGTCGCGCTTATATTATACCTATGAGCTTATATGGTGGTGCGCAAAACTCGATTTTTTATTTGTGCAACTAAACAGTTGAATTTGTTGCAAAACATTCGACATTAGCATATCCGTTATGCGTACGTAGTCAAAGGTGTGCCCTCTCTCAAATATTTATAAAAAAAATATATTTTTTATGTAAATATAAACTTACAAACTAATGTGCTGATTTCAGAAATACTTTTGCCATTAAAAAGCAACATTGTCACAGAGTAACTAAGGCTATAGTATTTATTCCTATTTTTTTTATAATTTTGTGCAGAAGTTGCGAGCAAGTAGGAGCAAGCAGTTTTGCTTATTTCTTACTTATTTAAACGTTTAACAATATTTAATATAGCATATATTACTAAGAGATAGTGCAGCAATCCAATGGTGAAAGAATTTTTGAAATCCGTTGAGTAGTTTTTGAGTTTCTTACAAAAAATACTACTTACTTTTTGCTACTGTCTTTTATTTTAATTAGGGTAGGCATAATAAGTACTAGTCTTCTCTTATCTGTGAATTATCTTTATTATGTGTATTTTCAGAAGCAATAATGCAGCTACACACAACTTTGGCGCTAAGTCTATTAATTACAGCAAAAACTGACCCAGACTCCGAAGCAGATAGATTTATAATAACAAATGAATTCTACCCTGAACAATACAGCATTTACACAAGTAAATATGAAATTGTCAATATTATTGTACCTTTAAATCAATTGAACTATGGCAATAATCCTGGCAGCAAATATGTATTTTTCTTCGTCGAAGCAGATCAAGATGAATCTGGAAGAGTTATAGAAAAAGGTTTATATGTATTCAAAGATGGTAACCCTATAAAACTATTGGATAACGGTAGAGATGTCGCTGCTGCCGCCGATGAAAGCAATGTAGCCTTTATTGCGGCTGAAGACGGTATATATTTGTATAACAATGAAAGAGTTTCCGTACACAAATATGGTACGATATCTGATAGTATTATTGGTATTGCAAAGCCAACACATAGTGACATAATTTATATCTTAACTGAGGATAAAGAGGTGTTTATTGTTAGTGGAATGGATACTAAGAAAGAGAAAGTAAATGAAATAGTTAACGCTGAACAGATAATATTAGATTATGACAACAATCTTTACTATTTAGATGCGGACACACAAGTTTATTTCTACGATTTTCTTAGTGTTACAAAAATCGAGGGATTACCTGATTATGCATTTAGTGCACGGCTTTTGAAACCTCCTGTAACAACTCAAGGTTTTGTACCATTCGTTGTTGATGGTGAAATATATTGTATCAACGCTAAGGGGTACGCAGAGATGTTTGATAAAGTGGAATTTGCTGGTAATGGTACTCCGAGTGCGTTCGCTATGGAAGATGGTGTAGTACATTATTATGCTATAAACAAAAAGATATATGAATTTGATATATATGATATACTGCATAATGGAGCTAAAGGTCTTTTAGGTAAACTTGTTAAGAAAACTGTCGCAGATGAAATTCTTACCTTAATTGGGTTATTAGTGTAACAGATTTGAATAATAAAATTGTATCAAAATCTAATATTGTGTTTTTTTTCACTGGCTTTCGCTCACGTTCCGTCCACGTGGAATTAGAAAAAATAAAAGTAGCATATGTGTTCTTCCAGGCTATCCTTTGCATCTACATAACATAACAGTAGTGGAGCCCGCTTAAACATCTTCGCACGAATGGGTCGGCTCGCCCGGTGTAATACCACGACCAGACAGAGTGAAGTGGAAGCAATTACGCGTTTCGTCTGATGAGTGTGGTGCCGGACGCCTAATTGTGGTCCCTTTCCCTTTCCACCCTTTTCTTAAGAGGACAGGATGCGAAGGTAAAGTGGATTTGATGGCGAAGGTGACGCATAGGAAGGGGAAATGTCCTCTTTATGTGCGTCTCCTTCTCCATCAATTAAGGGTAGGAGGCAACGCATCTGCAATTGCGGGATGTGTATGGGCAGCGGTCGCTTTCCATTTCGGTGGATTCAGTTGGCCGCTTGCTCGTTTGCCAACTTATGTTATAAAAAAAAATCTACGCCAAATTACATCGAGATTCGTCCAACTGCTACAAACTCTAACAGACATACATCCATCTACACTTTCGCATTTATAATATTAGGAGGATTATCCAGGTTTTGCTATTTTAACGGTTGAGTAACTACCTAATAGTTTTTATTTCTTTTTTTTAATAAAACATTAGTAACTAGATTTTTGTTTATTTACTAATATTTCCTTTAACCATTCCAACTAAGGTAACTGCTTGTGCTATGATATGGTTCACGACAGTCGTATGGTGGGATTCGAACCCTCGACCGCTCGGTAGTCCGTACCCCAAATCATTAGGCTATTGGCGCTTCAACCGTAATTAAGGCTTTTTGATGTATCCGCTGCTTATTAAGTTTGCAATAAATATGGAAATTTTCTTATTAAAATAAACTATTGAAGGTCAATTAAGAGGGCGCCCTTTGACTAAACGCACAACTGTTTAGTCGCTTAGATTCCTGTGAGTTTATATGGCGGTGCACACTCCTCCATTTTTAGTTGTTCTAAATAGTTGAATTGGCTGCGAAACAATCGACAATCGCAGACTGTTGTGCGATTTTTTAGTCAAAGATGTGCGCCCTCGCTAACTGGGCATTAAACATGCCTGTTTTATTATTGAAAAACTATTTAACTACGTCGTAGTCTTGGACTCCAAAAATCAAACAAAAAAATGGGACCCACCTGCAAGCATTACCTTTCGGATAAAAAAAAATATCAAAATCGGTCCACTAGCGGCGGAGTTATGCCGTAACACATATAAAAAAAAACATACAGACGAATTGAGTACCTCCTTCTTTTGGGAAGTAGGTCAAAAATAAGGAGAGTATATAGATTCTTTTGGGTTACTATATAACTAGCTTTTTACCCCGTCTATGTTTTATATCTGTGCTAAACATTAAGATATGTTAAGTGATGTCATATATTTTAGTAACAAACATTCTACGCATTTGAAGTTTCAAGTACGATTTAAAAAAATTCTGTTACCTACAATGAAATGAAGACAAATGAGTGAAGACAAATAAACAAAAATAAACAGTAATAAAAGCATTTATTAAATATTATTATGCATAACAATCCCTGATTCCCCAAAATTAATAATGCATTAAAATATTATGCTTATTCAACATTGTACAAAACAACAAAAACGGCCATTTTGTTTCTAGAACATTATCGTTCAACACTTAACCCTTTATACACATTATCTTTCGCAGTTTCAACGATTGACATGATAATCTTCGTCACATCACTTGGCCAATGTGACACAACACCGAACATAGATTTCAACAACACTTCCATAACATTAAACTCATATATTTTCCCATTCAATGCTGCAACTAAATACAGAGTAGCATCTATACTATACGCAGTCGGTTTCTCTCTAATATAGAAATCCTTCTTCTCACTAGTACCATTCGCATGCAGGATGTAAAGTCCACCATCAGCGAAAAATGGTACACATTTATCCATGATAAATGCTGGCCGGAGTAACTTTATTTCTTTAAAATTCTCACCAACTGTTGTCATGTAACTGATGTAACTACCATCATGTCTGGCTATATGAGGCATCCTGTCATCACAAGCTATGTAATATATATTATTAGAAGTATCCAAAACAAATTCTAAAGCACATAATATTGATTGAATTTTAGTTTTAACTGTACCATTCTTTTCTATCTTGTAAATCTTCCTTTCTGAATTTAAAATGAATATCGCATCAGAGTTGTTAGCTTTTTGTAATTGTGATATATCGTCATAAAATGGTCCATATTTTTTCGCTGATAGAGTATTCCCATCGTAGATGTAAAGACCATCTCTGGCACCGAAATAAACGGATTTATCAGCACTATAATCAGCAGTGGTATCCCTTCCTCCTTCTAGAACTTCGTAAGCAGCTAATCCTTCTAAAACATAAATACAGGAGCCACCTTCTAATCTAGGATTGGATATTGTAAAGAATATAGACGGTATGTCAGCGACATCTGCTGGGACGTATTTGGTATTATCTGCCGGTACTAATATACTGGTTATGTTGAATTCTGATGAGAATATGACTTGTTCTTCTCTGAATATTGATGTATAACTGTTCGGGGATCTGAACTCTTTGGCGGGAATTATTTGAGCAATGTAACAAGACATTGCGAATGTCAACCACATTGTTTTTGAGTGCCTGGAACAAAAAAATAAGAATGCTTTAATGTTTAGAGAACAACCTTACTAGTATAATAAACTAGCTATTGTTTGCGTCTTTTTCCGGGTGAAGATTAAAATTGTAATAAATATAGTTATACACTGTTAACGTTGCTATTTATTGGTGAAAGAATTTTTGAAATCGGCCCAGTAGTTTTTGAGTTATTTCAATATATGCAAAAATACAAATCATTCCTATTTTAATAAAAGTACTAATAAGTACTAGCTTTCGCTTGCGACTCCGTCAGCCTGGTATTCAAAAAAAACAAAAGTAAATAGCCTATGTGTTCTTCCAGACTATTCTCTACATCTGTGGAAAATTTCATCCAAATCTCTTTAGCAGTTTAGGCTACAAACTCAAACAAACATCCATCCATCTAAACTTTCTCATTTCAAATATTAGTATGATTTTAGTGATAACGTAGCTATTTATTGGTGAAAGAATTTAAATCGGCCCAGTAGTTTTTGAGTTATTTCAACACATATAACGATACAAATCCTATTTATAATATTAGTATAGATATATTTAGATAGATGAATAAGTCTAAACTGCTGGACTGTTCTAATAAATCTTAAATAAAAGATTTATGATTTTGAAAATAAAAATTATTGATAAACATTATTGAATATGAGATCGTTAGATCGTTTATAGAAAGTGATAACGAAGAAAGTAAACAGACAAAGCCGAGGGATGTGTCTTACATAATTCTGTTGTTCAACATAAACACGCTATGTTCAGCAACGCGTGAACGAACGCGTGTCCATTGTAACGCGGCACGACATTTTTTTATAACAATTTTATTCTAGAACTCTCCGATTTTACTACCACACCGAGATGAAGGACTCAATAAATAATTTCAAATACATTATTAGCTATCGCCTGCGACTCCATCTGTGTTTAATTAAAAAAAATGTAAGTAAGTAGCCTATACATCTGTCTACATCTATCTATGCTAAATTTCATCGAGATTCGTTAAGCAATTTAGGCTACAAACTCTAACATCCATCCATCCAAACCTTCGCATTTATAATATTAGTAAGATTTCATTCACTTTATTAAGTTGGTAACACTGGAAACAGTTTCTAGAAACCATTCTCAGGTGACAATAATAAAAACAAAGGCAAGACGAACATCGCGTGGATAAAAACTGTAACACTAAGAACGGGCGTACACCTTCGACAAAACTATCGCATTACTATTTGCGATTGTCGACTGTTACCCAGTAAATTCAACTGTTTAGTTACACAACTAAAAATCGAGTCGCATGCGCTCTATAAGATCATAGGAATTAAGGCGCGACTAAAAAGTTGTGAGGAAATTTAGTCAAAGATGTGCGCGCTAATCATTATGCAGCTATCACACTCGTGTCATTGTCCTATAAGATGACGTCATTCAACTCCCAACCCAAATGTGTATTTTAAAATTTATAATTTTCCTTAAAATAAATTACAGAATTTTTTTTATTATAAGTTTTCTTGCATATGCAATTCATCATGTCTATTTAAATATATTTTAGTAGGATTAAATTTGCTAAATATTAATTTACGCCTAATTTCTTTTTACAATGGAAACATGCAGCATTTCCTTCCGCAGACGGAATTAATAAAACCGTCTTGATACGTAATGAACTCTACAATCGAATTTGAAGCAAACAAGATAGTCAATCTATTTTAAGGAAGAAACAAAGAATTTTTAAGTTTATTTGGTCCATTTTAAGTCTGTTGTTCTGATTTGATACAAGTTCGTTGCACCCTACGATATGCTAGAAGGAACGCGGTCTAATTGCCAGTTGTTATTGTGAATTGGACATCGATAGTTGGATATCGAAGTAATTAAATGTAAGTGACAAACATTTTAACATAAATATAAAAAAAAATCAAAACGATTAAATTAACGTATGTTGTGAACTATTTCATACACTATTTTGCCTGTGACTGTACACGCGGGTTTTAAAAAATCTAGTAATTATAGCTTTTTAACGATAAAAGTCTATTTAAAATAAATCCAGTAGTTTTTGAGTTGACTGTCTAATAGACACATATATACAAATCTTTCCTCTTTTTAATATTAGTATAGATTATATTATTTGAACTGCATAATCAAATTTAAATTTTACAAACAATAATTTGCATATCTTACTAATACAGTAAACTAAACCTCGGTAACTTAAAGTTCCCTTCCCATCAGGGCCCAAAACCTCTACAACATAGACCCTTGATCACTTAAAACCTCTATAACTTAAAATATTTTTTGTTTCCCTTGTTATCCTAGTTTGTAGCCTAAATTGTTGAACGGATCTCGATGAAATTTTTGTATAGATGTAGAGTACAGTCTGGAAAAACACAGGCTACTTACTTTTGTTCTTTTTAATTCCACGCAGACGGAGTCGCTGGCTAAAGCTAGAAATTAAATACGAGCTATTCCACGCGACTTCACCCTCGTGAAATAGCCTATGTTACTAACGGATAAATTACCTTTCTAACTGTGAAAGAATTTTTAAAATCGGCCCAGTAGTTTTTGAGTTATTTCAATACATACAAAAATACAATCTTCTCTTTATAGTATAGATAAAACTGCGTTTTTTAACTGTTCATCTAACTTGTTCTCTCTTTCCAGACATCCAGAATGATACCTTTACTAATATTAATAGTAGTGTCATCAGTATATGCGAATAATTGTTCATATATTTACGATGAGATACACTATACAAGGAATTCGATATTAACTATAAAAGGTCTACCAACAAACTTGGCTTACAACCCTAAAAACAATGACGTTCTCTTCACATTAATTGATTTAGAGTCATTACACGACGATAATGTACAAACGAGAATGGATCAATATGTACTAAGAAACGGAGAACCTATTTTAATTGATAACGTTAGAGGACAAGCAGCCGCAGTTGATGTTAAAAATGACAAAGTGTATATAGCTAGTGATGATGGAATAGGAATTCTAAATGCATCTGATAAGGTTCAGTTTGCTAATTTAAAAGATGAAGACGTAGTACAATTGTTTAAACCAGTGCATAGTGATGATTTGTACGCGGTTACTTACCCTAATAATGAAATATATGTTGTTGACACTATAAAGAACGAGAAAAGAAGAGTGGAATATGTCCCTTGTGCGTTTATTCTTGCTGTTGACGCTGAAGATAATGTATTCTATGAATGTGATTCGAAATATGTTAAAGTATTGCTTAATGATTTTCAAGAACCAATTGAGTTTGTTGGTATAGCTAAAAATTCTGCGAGAGCGTTGACAGTGGATGAAAGTAATCGAGTTATTTTAGCAGCTAACGATGGTTTATATTGGTTGAAACCGGATAATATTGTGCCTAAAAAGGTAATGAATTTAGATTTCGTGCCATCTGGAATCGTTTTTAATGAAGATGTTATATATATAGCTACTAATGGTATGATTTATAAATACAGTAATAATTGTGTTTAAAATGTTACGTGTAATTAATACTGTTAGAAGTAAATGTGATTGATATTTTAAATATTTATATATGTGTGAGTTAGAATACATATTTTAAATTGATTTAAATTGTTTTTCATTTACGTATTTCTTGCTTTTTAATTAACAAAGTTTTAAATTTGATATTCAACATTAAAAAAACAATCGGATTTGATTTTTAAATACACCAATTTATTTAAATTTTAATAATCATTAAAAATATAAAAACTTGTGTTACTATTTTTCAAAAATAGATACTAAAATTTTAATAAATTATTGGATCAGTGCGTTTAGATTCACAGAATTTAGTTATTTTTAAACTATTTTGTAAAAACAAGTGTGATTATATAAAAAACTAGCTTTGGCCCGTGATTCCGTCCGCGTGAAATTAAAAAATAATATAAAACATAGCTCACTGACAATGTAGCTTTATAATGGTGTAAGTATTGAAAAAAAAAGTTATTTCATTACAATCAAACAAAGTTTTCCTCTTTATAATATAAGTATAGATAATCATTATCTCCCCTGCCTTATCCTACTCCCGTAGGGTGCACCGGGTTTTCGTCCTCCAAAGCACTCTATCATCCGTCATCTCAGTCATCACTCCCTTCTCGATCATGTCACTTATCACGCAATCCATCCCTTTCTAGGTCTACCTCTACCGATGTACCTCCACATTCATAACTAACATCCTTCTTGTTACATGCGATTCATCCCTTCTCATAACATGCCCATACCACTCTAACCTTTTACTCCTTATTTTCTCAACTGGGGTATATAAGTATGGATAATCAATTATTTAAAATACTTATTGTATAGTTAAATATTTTAAAAGTATATTAATGGAATTTATATTTGAAAGAGATATAAGTTCACAGGTCAAATCTCAAAGGGCATAAAAAAATTTTACTCACCTCAGTCAAAATTGAATTATTTTTGATAATGCTGCTATATGGATTACCGAACGCCGTGTGAAGTCTACCAATTGTGTATTGATAGTTATTCTGACAGATAATAGGGATTACATCAACGCTACGTTCTTCATAAAATACATTACATACAGGGTGATTTTTACAGACTTCATGGAACATTAGTAAACGCAATGAGTAAATTTACTTCCCCTTTATAGGGATTTTAAATATGCCCCTAGTAACTAGGAACTATCTTTGAATTTCTTAGCAGGTATGTGCATCACGATGTATTCCTTCACCGTAAGAAAGTCGGGTAAATTATGTACATACGAAATTCTAAAAATCATGAAACACATTGGTACAGCAGGATTCGATCCCAGGACCTGTGGATTACAAAACAAGTGCTCAAAACTGAGCCACCGACGCTCTTTATACGATTTTCATGCAATTTTGCTGTACAAGTACTGTCAAATATGCGTTTTTTTGACCGACTTCCCAAAAGGAGGTACTCAATTCGTCTGTATGTTTTGTTGTGTGTGTTACGGCATAACTCCGCCGCTAGTAGACCTATTTTGATAATTCTTTTTTCATCCGAAAGGTAGTGCTTGCAGGTGGGTCTCATTTTTTTGTTTCATTTTTTTTCAATTATAATTTAAAGTAAATATATTCAAGTACATATATTTTATATATGTTATGCGACGAAATGGGGACATAAACCTGAAAGTGTTAAGATTGAATGTGGATGGCTACAAAGGAAGAGGAAGACTGAAGAAAGTATGGATGGATTGTGTGAAAGAGGATATGCTTAAGAAAGGAGTGGATTCAGATATGACGGCTGATAGAGATGTATGGAAGCAGCACATAATGTGTCGACTCTCCATAAGGGATAAGTGGATGATGATATTCAAGGTCAAAGAATTTAAAAAGAATGCATCATCCTGTATAAAGCTAGACCTAAAACAAACATCATAGATCATATTTATAAACTCTATCTCACAATAGGGGGCGATGTTTTATAAGGTGTATAGATATATCGCGAGGCCACACTTCCGTGAACGATTGGCGATACTGGTAACTATTTTTAATTATTCTCACAGTCCTGTGAAGTGAAGTGTTTCAATTTTAGTTTTAGGGAACATCCTGTAACTTTGTACAATTTGTTAACTTCCAAATTTTTTATTCGATATATCCTTTTTCATTTTAATTTCGTCTTAATTTTGGGTTAGATTTTTAGTTACTGTGTTTATAGTTTGTGTTAATACACTGCTTTTACGAAAGATATTTTATAGTCTGTGTTTCCAAAAATAAAATGTCCCACTATTGATCTTGTTGAATATTTTATAATCCTTTAAAATATATCTAGCATCAAAATTTTCAATACAAAGTTATATAGTTCAAATATTAATTAATCAACTAAACCTTCCTTACTAATATTATAAATGTGAATGTTTAGTTGGATGTTTGTTAGAGTTTGTAGCCTAAACGGCTGAACGGATTTCGATGAAATTTGGTGTAGATGTAGAGAAGAGTTTGGAAGAACACTTAGGCTACTCACTTTTGTTTTATTTAATTCCACGCGGATGGAGTCGCAGGCGAAAGCTAGTAAGGAGCCCTTATGGAGGGGCACAGTATGTGCTGCTCTTCCATACATCTCTATCAGCCGTCATATCTGAATCCACTCCTTTCTTAAGCATATCCTCTTTCACACAATCCGTCCATACTTTGTGTCCCCATCGTCTCGTCGCATAACATTAGTGAAATATAATTGTTTTTTTCAGCATTCTCATCATCTGTCATGAAGTCAAAATGTCCATAACACTGTGGATTATCGCTATCATAATCGTGTACACAGCAAGCCACGACATAGAGAAATGTGAAAAAATAAAAATAGGTTCCGAATTCTACAAGAGACAATTAGTCGCTACTATCGATGGTTACCCTACAGGATTAGTTATCGACCCTAGAACTGAAAACATGTTCTTCCTACTCCACAAAAGGAACTACACAAGAGGCATACATATACTGAGATATGGTGCTTTAGGTGTTCAAGAGATTCCTATTTCTGACGATTTATCAGGCCAATGTGTTGGTATCGATGTGTCTAATAATATCATCTATATCGGAACTAATCAAGGCATAACAACGTATAACAAGGATAAGAATCAAATCACATCTGAGAGACCAATCGGTGACGACGATGTTCGTAATATCTTTTTTGATAAACGTGACAATTTGATGTACATAACAACGGGTCCGCAGCATGAAATATTCAAGTTCATAAATGGTTCCGCTGCTGTCAAAAGATATGATAAAGTACCGAGGGCTTATAATTTCATTTTAGATGCTAAAGGTAACGCTTTCTACGAATACGTCGATGGTAGATTGTATTTCTTTTCAGTAGATCTTTTTGAACCAATTCAATATAAAGGTTTTACAAGAGAATTGAAATATATTGTCCAATTGAATAATTTTGACGAAGCTATTCTTGCTGTGAAGGGATCTCTTTATAAATTAACAACGAGAAGTATTTTCCCGGAGAAGATTGCACAATTGGGTATGAAAATTACGGCTCTTTTCTTTGATGCTAGAAATAATATTATTATCGGTACGAAAGGTAAGATTTATAGATACAAGCCGGTTGATAAGAACGATCCTTGCCCCCCTGATGACTATTTCCTGTCTAGTATTTAAGTGAATTGTATTCGACGATCTGATTAAAAATGTTTAATTTGGAATTGTTTTATTTTTTTTTATAAATTAAAAAGAAATGAATCTTAAAACATGTATTTAGAATTTTATTTTATTAAATAATTTAAGTGATTTTAACATTTTTATAAAAGCGAAAGTTAAGACGGATTTTTGATCATTTTTTGATAGTTTGTAGCCTAAATTGCTGAATGGATTTCGATGAAGTTTGGGACAGATGTAGGACAATTTTAAGAAGAACATATAGGCTACTTACTTTTTTAATTTCACGCGATCGAAGTGGCCTATCAACAACCAACAACGAATTCTTCTGAATACGTTGTTTGGGAAAGTCGTTTCGAAATGTCATTCAAAAAACGGTTCAAAACCATATAATAATTACTTAAGTTACTTTTATTGAAAGCACTAAAACAATAATTTATAAATATGTATACAATATCGAATGTTTAATCAACAGAATTGAAATATCGTAATATAAATATTGTTTATTATCTCATGTAAACAGAATAGATTGTAGACAAAACAGAGAGCGCGCACACCTTTGATTAAACTGTCACACTGTTTAGTCGCTTTGATTCCTATAAGCTTATATGGAAGTACAGTACACGATTTTTAGTGCAACTAAACAGTTGAAGGCTGCGAAACAATCGACAATCGCACAACTTATTCGATTGTTTAGTCAAATGCGCCCGCTGTAATTATTTGGCCAGTTATTTGGAGGTATGCAAACGGCTTCGTGATTTAGTCGACATCGAACGAATGGCATCCGATTTGACTTCTAAAAATTCTTTCAATTCATCAATAACCTCTGATAGAAGCATAGCTAAGAGGTTGTATTCGTAAATATTTTTATTATAACCGTAGTATTGTATTAAAGCCGCTTCCATACCATATGCTGTTGGTTTTGCGTCAGATTTAAATTCGAAATCGGATTTCTCACTTGTTCCATTCGCGTAAATGAAATAAAGGTCATTATCAGTCACAAATGGTACTGAATCTTCGAGAATAAATGGTGGTTTTGCTAGACGGACTGTATCAGGATGTTGAGGCAAACCTGTGATTTCTTTAACATCTTCACCGTTAAAAACAAACGGCTTCTTATCTTCACCGTAGTAATACAAATTGTTAGAATTATCCAAAACTATTTCTCTTGCTCCTACAACCTCGTTAACTCTCTCTTTCTTCTCACCAGCTTCAGTCACTTTAAATAAATCATGATTTTCAGTTAATACATAGATCACATCGCTTGCATTTTCTTTAGCAATACCGATAATACTATCGGTTACTGATCCGTAATTAACAGCTGTACTATCATTTTTATTATACACGTAAATACCATCTTTAGCTGCGAAGAAAACATCTTTACTATCATCGCTAGATGCCGCTGCATCTCTACCATTTTCTAGAAGTTTCTTTACCTTACCATCTTTAAGTACGTACAGACCTTTGTCGATTCTGTTACCAGATTTATCTGTGTCCGCTTCGACGAAGAATACTGTCATTCCATCATCATCATTCGTATCATCATCTTCATCGTCATCACCCAGATTAAAAGAATTGATGGGAACTAGGATGTTCACGATGTCGTATTTAGCTCTGTAAACAACAAACTCATCAGGGAAGAATTCTTTGGTGATAACAATGTGATCTGATTCCCCACTTTCTTTGCTTTCTTTGCTTTCTTTACTTTCTTTACTTTCTTTACTTTCTTTACTCTCTTTGCTTTTATGATGTCTAGGAGCAGCTACAGCCAGTCCAATTAGAAGGCATAGTGTTATTGTTGTTAGTAATCTCATCTTTGCCGACTGGAAAAAAATAATTGAATTATTGAACGCCAAAAACCGTTAACATAATTTGAAAAAGGAACATAACCTATTAAAAAAACAAAACAAATCTACATTCCAAATTCAAATTTAGAACATCTAATTATAAAGCTTTTGAATGTTTGGATGTAAGTAGATATCTCGTAAACTGCTGAACGGATCTCCATAAAAGCATAGATGTAAAGTCTGGAAGAACACATAGTCTACATTTTAACGGACGGAGTCACGGGCGACAGTTAATAATAATTTTAAACTAAAATACTATATTATTTAGCTGTACTCACCTCGATCTTCGAAGTATCAGCAGTAAATAATATGTTTTGAGACCTCAAATTATATAAACTGCCCATTATTGATAACTTGAATTACCGCTGACATTCCTGACCTCATTACATTATTATTTGACATTTAAAAATAACTCTTATAACGTTACAATAAAGTCTGAAGTAAAACAAACTTATATCTTCATTCCAGAAAATAATATGAATTGTTGACAGTGACATTAGATTTGAGATAATTTACTTGGAAACTATGTGTTTATTATTATAGCTGGGAACAACAGGGCGACTTCATCCGCATAAAATTAGGAAAATTTAATTTTATTGTTTACATTTGTCAAATTGACAATAGTAAATGTCAAAATGACGATGACAAACCATGGCAATTATTTGATGTTGGCAGCAACTTATGGTCTCTTTCCCACGTTAGGGTTTTTATACAAAATGTTTACCCCCGAAGTTTAATGGCGTGGCAATAAATAGCCTAAAGCGTGACGTAAGTGTAGGGCTTTTTATTAATAAAGGAATTATTCAAAAATATGGTGTAATTGCTGACATCTTAGGCAACAAAGAAGTGTGTGTTTACGCTTTATTATAATAGTATAGATAGATGGGTATTGATTTGTCTAAGGGGTCTAGTTTATTATAATATTAAGGGTTGGCAGTTTCCCGGCTTGTGGGAGAGAAATGTTAACAGTATTTTCAACTTTTGGTTTACAAAACAGTCAATAGTTATTAAAATTGGATGGGAAAGAGATAAAAAGGCGAAATTGGATGGATGTTTATTACTATAATACCAGAACGACTTTAGGATCGTGATAAAAACCACAAAAATTTAAAATGTAAAATAATACAGGCTAATTTTAACGCGCGAAGTCACGGGTAAAAGTATTGTTATAAGAAATCTAAATACCGCTATAATAAGTAACATCTGATAGCTTATAACCACGTAGACCTTTGTAGGTGTAAATTGTAAATAAAAGTTTTGTTTTGTAATTTTATTACATTGTTTTCCTTATCTCAGAAAAATAAGAACGCAATTATACGTTTATTTTATAAATTAAAGAATTGCATTGCGTATTTTGTTGGTTTAATTTCTTATAACACTTTTAATTCTTAATATATTTGGAGGTTAACATTTAAGACCGCAGATGTGTTAATAATTCCTAATCTGACCAATAGATGGCGTGAAACTATAATACTAAAGTAAAGAAACGCCATCTAGCGCCGAATAGTCGAATTTTGAGCATGTATGAAATTGAAAAATTTTAACAAAATATGTTGACTTTGCAAAAACTATTCGAAAGTTACAATTATGAAATAAAAAAAAAGAATTAAAAAAGATTTGGGCTCGTCCGGGATTTGAACCCGGGACCTCTCGCACCCTAAGCGAAAATCATACCCCTAGACCAACGAGCCGGTGCTAAGTAAATTGAAATAATCTTTCCAATACTACATTTCAAATATTTGAAAATTGCTAATATTTTTGAAAAGGGATAAAAAAGCTATTTTAGATTTATTTTTAACTATAACAATTCCAAACAGTTATAGAAATTATAGTTTCACGTTTTACAGAAATAGCATCACATTATATAATTTTAAGTTAACTTTCTTCTCTATTTTTTAATTCTCAATTTTACAATGTTAAAAATAAAATTGTAGTTAATTCCTAAAAGGAGTAAGTACAGATTTTAAAATTGTCAACACCTCGAATTCGACCTCTCGACCCTGTAGAATGCATAAAATGAAATATATTTCCCGCCATTTCTTAGTCGCGTAAAACATTTTGCCGCGCAAACATGTGTCAGAATTTATAAACGGTTTTTTATCGGTTGCCAGTTCCGTGAACGTTGAGTTTGTGATTTATTTATTTGTAATTGAGTTTTTATGTGCATTTTGGATTTAAAATTTTATGTAAGTATTAAATTGAATACATTTTTAATTATTAGTGTATTTTTTTATTCACAAAGCTAACAAAAACTTTTTTTAAATGCATTTATTTTAAATTAAGGTTATATTTTAACTGTTATTTGAATTGTATAGTTAAAAAAAATCCTACACAGATTTAACTGTTCGATTTTTCAGCTAAAACTGTTAACGAGTCTATCCTGCTGTACAGACAAACAATTGCTAATTTATAAATTAATTTAAGAAAAATAAAAAAAGTCTTTGTTCAAAATTACTTTTAAACACATGCACAGATTAAACAAGTTCAATTTGAAGGTTAGAACTACAAACTACAAACTAAAATGTAATATTATAAATGCGAAAGTTTAGATGGATGTTTGTTAGACTTTGTAGCCTAAACGGTTGAACGGACCTCGATAAAATTTGGCATAGCCGTAGAGGATAGTCTGGAAGAACACATAGGCTACTCACTTTTGTTTTTTTATCACGCGGACGGAGTCGCGGACGAAAGCTTGTAATTAAATAAACTGCGTTCATTAATATTAACAAGTTCCTGGTGTACAAGGAAATTTGAAAGTCTTGATAAACAGTAAAGATATACGCGTTGTTAAATTTGAACAAAGGCGGTTAATTTGATAATTACATTTTTATCTTAGAATCCAAGCAACATGTAATTTACTAGCCTTTGTAACTGCTTCCTATATTATGTTCTTGAGAACTGAAACGAATTTAACGCTAGTATTTCCCAAAGAGCTTCAAAAGTATATAGAGGAGGCATAGTTGACAATTCACTTTACTTTTCATCATACACTAATGGTTTAGTTAAAGTTAAAGTTTAGTGAATATTTAACGCCGGCGCCCAGAAACACGCTGTTTATTAATGGTTCCTAAATATTAGTTATAATAAAATATAGCCTATGTTACTCCCAGATAAATTACCTTTTTGATAGTGAAAGAATTTTTAAAATCAGTCCAGTAGTTTTTGAGTTATTTCAATACATACAAAAATACAAATCTTTCCTCTTTATAATATTAGTATAGATTTAATTTCACAACACTGTCTATTAATATATCCTTTAAAATATTATAATTAACTGTATTTTAATTAATTGCCAATAGGCGTCATTAAATATTGAATTATTTGTATTCTACTAGCTTTTGCCCGCGAGTCCGTCTGCTTGGAATTAAAAAAAAAGTGAGTAGCCTATGTGTTCTTCCAGACTATCCTCCACATCTATACCAAATTTGATCGAAATCCGTTCAGCATCTAAATTTTCGCATTTATAATATTAGTAAGATTTTGTAACACTTAGCGTAAACTTGACAACTGATATAGTACCTTTCAGAGAAGGTACCGGTGAAAAATTTTTGTTCTCTGTCTCTTCTATATATTTCTTAAGTCTTTGGTGTTTTATAGTATTCATACCTTTCAGAGAATTCAAGCATCTTTGAAGACGCTGTTACATATTTTAAATGACGTATTTGACCGTTTGATATATTTGTCAAAGTTAATTAAATCTATATATATAATAAAATTGGAGTGTCTGTAATATCAAAAGAAAAAATCCAGATTTCGGGAAGATGATGTATTTGCGTTGCTGATGACTATTTTTTTGTCTGTCTGTCTGTCTGTCCGCAAGTCGCAATTGTTCCGTGTAATCTCCGAAACGGCTGGACCGGACTTTTACTGAAGGGTAGCTGACATGGGCGGGTATTATAGGGTACTTTTTTTATCTCAATATTGCGTGGCCGAAGTCGCGGGCCGCAGCTAGTCTCACATAAGTCTATTTATTCCTCTTAAAGAACAAACGCATTGTAATAAGGCGCCGTGCACCAGTACTGGATATTTGTCATCTTCAATTCCCTGTGATTAAAAAGTTATAACGTAATCTCGTTGCTTAGTCCGTTTTTCAATAGTCAAAGGTTAGATCACCGCTGATTGCGTTGCATAACTTGCAGGAAGCATTTCATCAGAAGCTCATCCGATAGAACCGGAAATTAAGTTGACTATTAAGTTATAAGTATGTTCTTAAGTTATATGACCGTTGATTGCAACCGGATGTTAAGTTACACTCTTTATAGTCGTTCTTCATTAAGTACTTAATTTTTAGTATTATTATTTTAGACAGCTATTTTTAAATTAGCTAGCGTTCGCTCGCGACTCCGTCCGAAATAACTCTAATCAGCTTAATGTGCCTGTGTTTTTTCTTGTAGTCTATGTTCTACGTCTATGCCAAATTTCGTCGAGATCCGTTCACCGTTCAGGCTGTAAACTCTAACAAACATCCATCCATCTAAACTTTCGCTTTTATATAAATACTAGCTGTTCCCGTGCGACTTCATCCGCAGGAAATTATGAAAATTTTATTTTATTGTTTACATTTGTCAAATTATCAATTATAAAAGTCAAAATGACATGACATGATGACAACCTTGCTTCCTTAATGTTGGCAGTAACTTATGGTCTCTTTCCCACATTGAGGTTTTTATCCAAAATATTTACTCCCTATGTTTAATGGCGTTAAAATATATATCCTAAAGCGTGACGTAAGTGTAGGGCTTTTTATTAAAAAAAGGATTATTCAAAAATATGGTGTAATTGCTGACATCTTAGGTAACAAAGAAGGGTGTGTTTACGCTTTATTATAATAGTATAGAAATAGATAAGATAATTACTTTTAAAAGCATAATGTTTAAGCAAACTGGTTATAAATCAGGTTATTTTTACCCTAGTTTTTATAATCTTTCTTATAAATGAGGTTAATTGAGATGACTCTAAGTATAAATTAAGTTAAGGGCACAATAACTTGAGTTCGAAAGTTGTGTGCCTTGAACGCGGGTTATGGTTAAAATCTCGTTTCATTCAATACAAGATTATTGTTTGAATATTAAATTTCTGCTCACATAAAGTCATATTTGTTTAATTTCTCTTCATCATCATCCCCCCTTTTCCTATTAGGGTCACCTCCTAAATAACTCTACCATCCGTCATCTCGGTCACTCCCTTGATCACCTTTCACGCAATCCATCTCTTTCTACGTCTACCTCTACCGGTGTTACATAACGTTCTTCTTGTTACATGCGATTCATCCCTCCTCATGCCAATACCATGCTAACCTTTTACTCCTTAATTTCCCTACCACTGGGGGTAGTCTCAAAACTTCTAATTTAATCAATTCGCATTTCTAC